GCAGCGGCAGCAGCTAAATGCACTGGGCAAGACAGTAGCTGCCAGTTCACTCAACAGGCCAGAACGAGGGCTACTGAGAGCAGGGCACCCTTTAGAGCGTAGGAGGTGGTTGCTAACCAGGAGGGTGGGGCCACTGACTCCTGGGAGCCAGACCTTCTGTGCGAAGAAGGAAAGCTGTGCGCTGGAAGGGTAGGATGAGTGTGCGAGCGCAGGCCAGCGCACCTTGCGGGGAATACTAACAGCAACCCACCTTGAGGTATTAAAAATAGTCTTCTTTCTCTCTCTCTCTCTCTATCTAATTTATATCCTACCACCACTCCCTTGAAAGTGAGGCTCAGGGTGGCTTGCAACAAAGTAATCCAGTAGGCAACCTTAAAAGCAATAATAATAAATAAATATAGAATAAATGTAACACAATTGAAAACTGACTATATCAATCTATTAAAAGCATAGCTGCATCCAACAACCTAGCAGTAAGAATGATCTGGTTGAAACAAGAATTGCAAGACATACACAATGACGAATTAAAAGCTTGCTGGAAGAGCTCTGTGTTGCAAACCCTGCAGAAGCTAACAAGGTCCTGTAGGGCATGTGTGTCCTCTGATAAAGCATTCCACCAGGACGGGGCCACCACAGAGAAGGCCCTCATCTTGGTAGAGGCAGGCCACTCAAGGGCTGGGCACCACCAAAAGATTTTGTGATAAAGAGTGCAGGCAATGTGAGGGATTGTAGTGGGAGAAGCGGTCCTTCAGGTATGATTGTCCCAGACCATTTAGGGCTTTTAAGGTTAAGACCAGTACCTTGAGTTTGATCTTGGAGGTTGCACTTTATGTATGGCAAAATTGGCACCTTTCAGTTTGCAAAGGTAACAAGGTGTCCGCATTTCAAAAAGAGCATCTTTAACATTTTCCTCCATTTTCCAGCACTTAAACTGCTGAAGTCATGTTTGGATTGCAGGCCCTGTATTGTGCCTGCCTGCATGCACATAGATTCATGCACACATACTATGAGTCGTTACATTCTGGAAAGGTAGCCACGAGTCTCCTGCAAGCAAAATAAATTGAACTTTGCACGTCTGACACTGTGGCTTTTTGGCTCACAAAAGCTTCTGCTGCCATAGATGCATGTTTGCCTTTAAGATACACATGAACACATCAAGCTGCCTTCTGTTGAGTCAGACCTTTTGGTCCATCAAAGTCAGCATTGCCTACTCAGATTGGCAGCAGCAGCTCTCCAAGGTCCCTGGCAGAGGCCTTTCACACAGCTTACTACCTTTTAGCTGGAGATGCCAGGGACTGAACCTAGGACCTTCTGCATGCCAAACAGATGCTCTCCCACTGAGCCATGGCCACCAGACCTTTTGCTATATGTTGTTAATGACAGTCCGTGGGGCACAAAGTGGCCCAAGCAAAACCCCTTGAGATCAACGGGAAAGCCAAAAGAGCATGCTCACTTCTCCAGGTGCTCCTGGACTCTTACTCTTTTCTACACTCAAATATCTGTGACTGACACGGGGTCCACTTTCACTTGTGTGCCAATGTGCAAAGAGCCCTTGCAGGCAAATCAAGGAGGGAATGGACAAAACTGCTGTTATAGGTCCATGTCTGGATTTTGTGTGCCAATGTGCAAAGAGCCCTTGCGGGCAAATCAAGGAGGGAATGGACTGCTGTTATAGGTCCATGTCTGGAATGTGCCCCTGCGTCCCCCTTTGTGCCCTGGGATTTCACCCTCTAAGGACACCCTCTTGTACAAATAAAAAGAGACTGATCCCTCGCCCTCCACAGAGACTTTAAGGTTCTTGGCCATCCTCGGTCATTTGACTTCCGGTCACTTCTAAGGAAGTTCTAAGGAAGAACTCCAAGGATTGTCATGAATGGCCAGCACAGATCCACTGGGGCGAATCCACTGGTGGATGAGGAAAGGAACCGGGACATGCACTCAGGGTGGCCAAGTGGGTCACCCAACTGTCCCGTCTTTCTTCACACAACTGTCAAGTCATAGCCCGTCACCTTTCTTTCGCCACGGCACCCTTGGCACCTCCCATAGCGCCAGGGCCGGACCCAGATTATTTTGCACCCTAGGTAAGGATCCCTTCTGGCGCACTCCCATGCGCCGCCCCCTCCTCCTGTGCATTGCCCCCCCCCCGTGCTGGTAAGGGCTGCCGCCCTCCCTCGGGTGCTGCTGCTGCCACCGGCCAGAGGATTTCCGCACCGACTGACCCACTTTGCCCACCCTGGTGGGGGGGGCGGGTGCAGTTTGGCGCCCCTAAGGGCCAGCCCGCTCTAGGCAAACGCCTAGTTCGCCTAGTGAGCGAGCCGGCCCTGCATAGCGCACAGGACCCAGAGGCACTCGCAACTGTCAGGTGTGGCCAGGCCCATCTTTGCTGTTGAGGCAAAAAGGCAGGCCGGGGAGTCAGTCCCAGAGCTCCTTAGGCTCAGAGTGTGTGGCACAGTGCAACACCTGTGGAATGCCAGGCCCAGTGTGGCCCCCTTGGGGACTTTGGTCTCTCTTCCAGAGAGCCAGTTTGGTGTAGTGGTTAAGTGCGCGGACTCTAATCTGGGAGAACCGGCTTTAATCCTCCACTCCTCCACTCGCAGCTGCTGGAAGACCTTGGGTAAATAGTTCTGCCACAGCTGTCCTTGAAAAAGAGCAGTTTCTGTCAGAGCTCTCTCAGCCCCACCCACCTCACAGGGTGTCTGTTGTGGGGAGGGGAAGGGAAAGGAGTTTGTAAGACGCTCTGAGACTCCTTTGGGTAGTGAAGGGCGGGGTATAAATCCAATCTCTTCTTTTTCTTCTTCCCCTCAGACACCCCTGAAGCTGCCTTATCCTGAATCAGTTCCTTGGTCCATCAAGGACCCTACGAGGACAGGCTGAGGGGCACGGGAATGGGCAGTCTGGAGGAGGCTGGGGGGGGACAGGATGGCTCTCTTGAAGGATCTGAAGGGCCGTCACTTCGAGGAGGGCAGGGAGCTGTTCCTGCAGGCAGAAGAGGAGAGGACAATCATGGGATTCAATTAAGGGCAGGAAGGTACTGGCTGGATATAAGGGGAAATGTTTTGACAGTAAGAGTTGTGCAGCAGTGGAATGGGCTGCCTCGGGAGGTGCTAAGCTCCCTCTCATCCCTCCCCCTTCAAGCAGTGGCTGGACAAACACTTGTCAGGGATGCTCTCTAGGCTGAACTTGCATTGAGCAGGGGGGTTCGACTAGATGGCCTCTGGAGGGTCTCTTCCGACTCTGTGATCCTGTGATTCTAAGGCCAGGCTGGCAGCAGATCTCCAGGGTCTCAGGAGAGGCATTTCCCATCACCGGCTGCCAGGAGAGGTTGGGGACTGAGCCTGGGACCTTCTGCATGCCAAGCAGAGGCTCTTCCGCTGAGCCACCGCTCCCCCCCAAGACCAATGGGCGAAGGCACAGAGGTGGGGGCTCAGCATACTCAAGCCCACTCTCCCTTCCCCCCTGGGGAGTCCACGTGCGGAGGGGTCCTCTGCACAGGTCTACGGAGTTGCTTGCAGGACAGGTCTTGGACCTCGCCGGAAGATGGACCTACCTGGAACCCCCAGGCTGCATCATGGGGTATCACAGCCAGGTGAGGAGAAGAAGAGGGGAGGCGGCAGACCCAGAGAGGCAGAAGCTGGGAGGAACCTTCCCCACCCCCCACCCCCCCAATGCATGCAAAGAGAAGGAGGCGCCACATCTAGGTTGAGAAATCCCAGGAGATGGGAGGGCAGAGTCCGGGGAGGGGAGGTGGGGGGAGCTCAGTGGGCTGTGGTGCCACCCAAAGCTGCCTTTTCCTCCAGGGGGTCTGACCTCTCTCCTCTGGAGAGCAATTAAAGATCAAGATGTGATGCCGGGACACCTCCAGGCCCCACCTGGAGGTTGGTAACCCTAGAAGGGCCCTTCCAAAAAGCAGCCAAAATGGGCCGCTCTGGACCGGGGGGGGGGGGCGGCGGCTGCGCTGCACTACCCACCAAAGAGTCCTCCGGACACCCACCGGGGCCGAAGGCGGC